TATTTCCCCGTGCTGCATATTTGGAGTGCGGGCTCAAAATTTAATACCTGGAAATCCAGGTATCAAAAAAAAAATGGGGTAAAAAAGTGGGGCAGGGCATGGTCCTGGACCGTGCCCTGAGGTGACCTGAAAGCCAGTCCTCTGGAGAGATGCTCTGGTTTCTGGCCAGAGTGTCTCTATGTGCTTCCGCTGCCCTAGCACACTGGGCATGCACCTGTAGTGTGCCAGAGTAAGTAGAAGTGGGGCAAGGATCCAGCATGACCAGGACCTGGGCACTATCGTGGGTATGTAGGGACTGAGGGGCAATCGTGGGTGTGGGGAGAAGGGGGCTGTGCACCAGTGGGAAGAATGTGGGGGGGTTGTGTGGGGGTGGGGGGGCTGGTTGTGGGCCATGGGTCCCTCACAGGGTGCACAATCCCCTCCTCCCCCTGCTGCAGCAGCAGCCATCAGGTGCTCAGGGCCTGCTGTTATTGGAGCCCCCCCTGTGGCATGGTGCAGCCTTGGCCACCTTAGAGCTGGAGGTGCCTGTGCCATTTGTCATGGGTGTGGCCCGCCTTGGTGCTGTGTGGGGCCCTGCACTTTTCTGCAGCTCTGGGCCCCTTGGGCTGTCACCTGAGGGCCAGTGCCACTCGCAGGGAATGCGTCACGCTGGGCTGGGTCCTGCCTCCACAGAACCAGCTAGGCCCAATGGTACGCAGGGCCCGTGCACACAGGACCCAGCCCGGCACAACACATGGTCTCTGCGAGTGGCGCCAGCCCCCAGGTGACAGCTTGAGCGACCTGGAGCTGCAGAAAGGTGCATGGCTCCGCACTGCACTGAGCTGGGCCACACCTGTGTCAAGCAGCACAGGCGACACTGGCTCTGAGGTGGCTGCACTGTGGGGGGCTCTGACAGCAGTGGGCCCTGAGCACCCGATGGCTGTGGGGGTGAGCTATGGGTCCTGCAGAGGGGGGCCATGGCCCTGTGGTGGGTCTGGTCATGTGCTGTGTGGGGGAGCCATGCCCTGTGGGGGAGTAGGGGACCCACCCCTCCTGAGCAGCCCCGCCATACAGTCCCCCCACACCCACCACAAAAATCTGATTTTAATAATATACATTGTATACAAAAATCTGGTTCTAAGTATAGTAATTATGGCCAAAGAGTCACTGATACATGGCTAACTCTGAAGTACAGTCATGCCGGCCAAATGGATTTATACCATTTGAAATGTTTGTATTCTCATGAGAATTGTATATTTTTAAAAATAAAAGTGCCAATATACAGAATAATATTTGCCTGCTGTACCCCACAAGGCTGCAATGGGATTAAGTATATAATTTTATAAAAGGTTTTGAATGTAAGAACACACTATTGCTCATGGCATGCAGGTATCTTATGTGTCGAAGATATAGAACAGAGAAATATTAGGGAGAAGATCTCAGGTGTACACATGTTAAGCACCCAAACAGGCTTCATGGGAAAATATTGAGAAGAAATCTATTTAGATACAATTCTGATTTTATAATGTGGTTTGATAATTTTTTCTGCTACTTATACGAGCAGACTGGGTGAATGAGGAAAGTGAAATGGACATGATTTATTTGTAATTTTAAAAGGCCTTTGATACAGTGCTGCACAGGAAGCTTATGAGCAAACAAGTATTCTCTAGATAAAAATAACAAAAATGCAATGGATAATGAACTGACTAACAAATAAGATGCATAAAACAAATTATCATCAATAGTATTATTTCAGAATATAAGGAGGCATCAAGTGGAATCCCAGAAGATTTGATATTGAGATCATGTTCATTAAGGACCTGTAGGAGACTATAAATTCAACAGTGACAGGATTGCAGATGATAAGAGGTAGTAGTTTCTACAAAGATAGGGAATTTTGGTTAAAAATACAGAAGGATATGAACAACTTGGGAATTTGGTTGGATTGGTAGGAGATGAGATTTAGTGTAAAAAAGAATAAAATAATATGTTGGGGGGAAGTTAGAGCAGCACAGATGTAAATTAGGGCATTCTAATCTAAAAATAGTTAGAAAGAAATTGTAGTAGAGGTAAAACCCCAGTATTAATGTTGTGTGCAATACCCTGGCAAAAGAGGCATTTCCTTATGAGATACATAGACAGAGAAACACAGATAGCTTTGGATGGAAGTTTTGGAGGAAGGGTCTTGCTATGAACTTGACAGAATTGCTACAAGTAGGGAAACTTAAGAGGAAAAAACAGTTTTTAAACTGTGATCAGCCCCAGGAAGAAAACTAACTAAAGTCAATTCAGTTTTACTGGATGAAATTTAGGAAAATAAATGCTACTTTTCTTCTAGTAAGTTAGTAAATTGGTTCTGATTGAACTCAAGATAAAAAGAAATGGTTTGCATGAATTATTTCAAAGTTCATTTTACAATGCAATATTCTCTGTCATATTTGCAAGATAAAAGACTATTTATTACCTTAAGGAAGTGAAAACAAAGATCCAGTGTGAAAACAGTTCAGTAAAATTATTTGATAGCAGAAGCTACTAAAGTCAGCATTTGTTAAGTTACTGCAGATCTCTCCTGTCCTGTAGATAGGGAAAATAAAAGAAACTCACATACCACTGGGTCATAAGTTATGGTAAATGGTAACAGCTTAATGGCAACTAGTGTATGTTCAAAGGATTTATTTGTAGCTGGCATGGTTTTCCAAGAGGTGACAGGGGCCTGTTTTGAGGAGTAAAAAATGACTTGTTGAACATATTTTTCCAGACTGGATTTTTTGTGTGGGAAAGCAAAGAATTAAAAAAAAAAAAGATAAATTATTATATGTGGTGCAAAATATCTCAACAGAGATTGTAGCATGGAGATACCTCAACAGAGGGTTGGAAGTGCAGTGTCTAGAAGGAGTCCTGTTGAAAGCCTCAGAGGAGAGAGCAGCAGGGATGAATGTCATGGTGGGTCTCTCATGTTCTTTATAAGCCACCAAAGCAGGAGGAAGAGGTGGATGAAGCCTTCCTTAAACAACTGATAGAAGTTTCCAGATCATAGGACCTGGTTCTCATGGGGAACTTTTATTAACACAAAATCTGCTGGGAAGACAACAGTGCATAGGTCATCCAGCAAATGTTTGGAGTGTGTTGGAGATAACTTTTTGATCCAGGTGGTGGAGAAGCCAACTGGACTGGAAGCTTTTTTTAACTTTCTGCTCACAAACCGGAAGGAATTGATTGAGAATTTGATAGGAAGTGACCACAAAATGATAAGAGTATGAGATTATAAGGGGAGAAAGCGAGAAGAGCAGCAAAATAAAGAACTTGAACTTCAAAAAAGCAGACTAACAAAGAAAGCAAGCTAGTGAGCAGGATCCCCTGGGAGGCAAGTGCAAGGGGAAAAGAAGAGCCAGGTATACTTTATGGAGGCCATATCCTATACAAAGGATGACATGGAGAAATGGTCCAAAAGCAATCAGATGAAACTGAGCAAGGACAAGTGCCAAGTGCAAACAAGGACAGAATAGTTGCTTGCACAAATACGGACTGGGGAATGATTAGCTAGGTTACAGTATGTCAGAGAGTGCCCTGGGGGTTATAGTGGACCATAAGTTGAATATGAGCCACCAGTGTGTTCTTGTTGCCAGAAAAGCCAAGAGCATACTAACTGGATTGTAGTGTAGAAGGGAACCCTAGCCCTATTACCTCCAGAGGGATGAGGAGCCAGAGAATGAAGTCGGGGCTCGTTTTGTAGCCCAGACAGGCAAAACTTCAGATTAGCCAGTAGCCTTAAGAGTTGTTAGGCTGCAGAGGGATACATGGAAGAACAAGTTGGCTAATGGAGTAGAAAACCCTGTGCTTAGTTAAGAGGACTGGAGACAGTTGGCCAGAAGGAGGTAAAGCCAGAGGAGTGCTAGGGCCAGACCAGGCAGTCTAACCCTGAAGGGTGTAGAATGAGGAGCTCCAGCCAGTAGAACTGTGAGAGAGAAAGCAGACCAAGGAGGTGGGGTTTGCATTTGAGCTGGCAACAGGCTGGATGGCATTTTGTGTTTTATTTCCCTAGAGGATTGAAAGTGGCTATTAGGGTTGGTTGGAGTCCATGGAGAGAGGGGGAGGAGGTGGGGGGGGGCATATCTTGGGGAAGCACTCCATGCTTTTCTGCCTACGTCCACAGACTAACATGGCTACAACCAATACCCCCAATACTAAAGACAGGGCACGTTAGCACATGTAGGAAGAGGATACTAACAGTACTGGATAGCTAGGCTGAACCAGGGCTCAATAAGCCTACTTACAGACTCTGAGAACAGCCTTCCTTATTAGCCAATAGACAAAATCAAAGCATGTCAGGTGAAAGAGAGAAAGGGTGGTACCTGGGAGACTGGACTAGAGCATACCAAACTGTCCACCAGGCAGTGGTACTGCTGCCTGTGAACAGACCCTGTGACGATAGTAACAGGAATGTTACAATTAGTGAAAGTGACTCACCTTTTATTCAGCACTAGTGAGGCCTCATCTGGAGTACTGTGTCTAGATGTGGACAGATGGTAAAAGCCCAGCAACGAGTGACAAAAATTATTATAGTCCTGGGAAGCATGATGTATGAGATCAGGCTGTAGGATTATTTGGTCTGGAAAAAAGACGTCTTGATTTGATAATTTTTCAAATACCTGAAGGGCAACTACAAAGAGGATAGAGATTAGACTTTTTTCTGTGGCCATAGGAAACAGGACTAAGAGCAATGGCCTCAAACTGCATCAGAGGAATTTTAGGTTGGAGATTAGGCAGAACTGTCTGACTCTGAGAGTGGTCAAGCATTGGAACAGGCTACTTAGAGATATTCTGAAATATCCATCTGGGACTGAAATGGTTTAGTCACAGATGATTCTGATTGAGTAGGGGGCTGGACTAAAGGACCTTACAAGGTAGGACCAGGCAGGAAGGGTCCAGACGTACTTTCCTATGCCTATGACCCTATGATCTCTGGTGTATAGGTGAGTGCATGCACTAACGTTTGTAACATTATTATTCTTTTTCCTTAGGAACAGGAAGGAGTGAAAGGCGTCTCTGTGGGAGCCATTCTTTCAGACTATCAACGCGTTCGTGTAGAAGATGTGTAAGAAAATCTTTTACTGATACGTACACACATAAAAAACCCCTCTGTTTTGATATGCACAATCATAGAAAAACCCTGTAGTGCAGAACAGATGCAGGTGTTTTATTTCACTTAATCTGTCATTGAATTAGGTGGTAGAAAGTAGGTTATTCAGAGGCTGAAGTTATGTACATTTTAATCACTACTTCTGTGTCTGCAGAAAGATTTTGCATTTTTCTTTGTGAATCTGGGAAATGAGAACCATAAGTACACAAAGATGACAAGCTAACATGACATTCTGGTATCTTCACTAAGCTTGGCTGACATGTAGTTTTTGCTTGCTTGGTCAGTTTAGTTGTGTGAGGTCATAAAACCAGAACAGACACAGAGGTATCCACAGGACAGTGTCCATATGTCCTTAACCAGCTAGTTCAACACTCTGTTTTAGCTAGAACATTAAATAGGAGGTAAGATTGAAACAGAACAGACTCGTTCATAATTTTTTCCTGTATAAGACTGAAATAATTTCTTTGTGTTTACCTTGTAATATTGTTTTTTTAAATTATGGTATCAATTTAATGTTTTTGATGATTTGAACCCATTGATTTATTGATTTAATCATAATTGTGATCATTTTAGTGTTTTGTTTTAAAAATGAGTTTAGTACAGTCCTGGTAAATTAACCCAGCAATATGGTTACTTAAATGTATTTGCTTCCTACCCTTTAAATAAAATCCATACAAAATACACAGAAGAGGTGTATTTAATCAAATATCAGCATGCGTCATGGACTCTAGGGCAGAGTTTACCGTACTCAAGAAATTTGCAAGCCATACGATTCTGTGTCCAAAATAATTCTCAAGTTCCTCAAGCAATGGACACTTGCAGAGATGCCTAGTTGATTTTATAAGTGACGTTGGGTTTTCAAAAAGGTTATTTGTTATATATGTGTGTGTATAGATAAATAATGTGCATATAATGTATACAACCGATTGGAAGAATAGAGAAGAATGTAAATCTTGACAAGAGAATGAGAACCTCAGGTGCATTAAGAGAAAAGGATTTGAGTTGAACCGTCTGCTTCCATGGCTGCCAAGAAGTGAAAACCAGTTAAACAATATTCAACCTTTTTCAAAACATCAATTAGCCAACCCATCAAAAATGTCTACTCTCTATTTAATCAGTATGCAGATGAGTAGTAGTATGTTTCAATGTTATTGCCTTTCCCAAATGGTTCATTTACAAGTTTTTGGACATTTCAGAGAAAGTACAATAGCATGTTGTTAGCTGCACACTTCCTTTAAATGGTCCAAACTTCCAGAAAATAATAAACACCCTGCAGTTCAGTGAGTTGCTGTGTTGCTAATATATTGGGGTTTTTGCAAAATATGCTGTAGAACATTTAACTTAATATTTAAAGAATTGGTGGCTGGATTTTTTTTTTCAGAAGCCGTCTTTGTTTGCTTAATTCTGTTCAAATTGAAGTCAACTATTGCCTTCAGTGGGAGCAGAGTTCTTTTGAATATCCAACTACGGATATCTAAAGTTAGTCCAATAAATGCATAGATAGGGAACTAACTAAAGTACATGATGTTCAAAGTTGCCAAACATTTGGAAGTTGCCTTTTACATTATTTCTGGGTGCTTAGCATCTGTTAGAAAAAAATCTAGCCATATGTATAAAACATAAAAAAAATCTTGGAGTGGTAATATGCTATTACAGCAGTGATAGCTTACAAAATGTAGCTTTTGTCTGACTTGAGTTAATTATTTAAGTATTTTTCTAAGTTTTTTCAGAATTTGAGCCTTTATGGACAAAGTATCCTTTGTGATATATTATTGGTTTTGCTTTTATTCGATTTATTGCTAGTTAAGCATGTTTAATATTTTTCAATAGGTATTTCGTTTCTCTGGTACACATTCTATGTTTATTTCATGAGCGGTACTCCTGTTGATCCTAGTGACAGATTTTGCAGTGAAATGAGCAACTTTTTCCTTAATTTTGTGTACAGAAATATGCCATCTTCTGTCAGGTTATGCCCATAAGATTTGAGGTTTCATTTTCTTCCTGCTTGTTATGCATTAGTTTAACATAGTAATTTATTTAGGTTCAGTAAACGATGGCTCCTTTCTTTTTCTTTTTCTTTCAATGTATATGTATTATATGTATTTATAATTATAAAAGCTAAAACATTTTATTATATCTGTGATCCTAAAATACTAACGATTTTATATATTATATGCACATTATTTATCTACACACACACACACACGCGTATATACACACACACACACACACACGTATATACACACACATGTATGTGTATGCTATATATAGTTGTATATGTATGTATAATGGTAGAAAGCTATAAGAATTGGTTATGTTTGATATTAAATAAATTCCTCTGAATAAATGAGCATACCATTTGGAATTTACCCATCTAATTTTTTCTTTTTAAAAGTTGTAAGAGACTCAATCTGCAGCCTTTAGCTTATCTTTGGCGTCGAAACCAGGAAGCTTTGCTCAGAGAAATGATATCTTTGGATATTCAAGCCGTGATCATAAAAGTGGCAGCTTTTGGTACGTATCCAGACCATGAACAGCGCTATTTGCTCATGCTTTTTTAAACTTGGTCATAAGAAGTGAGTGTAAGAGTTCAGGAACAAAAAGCAAAACAAAAATTCTGTTTTTTAATATAAGATGAAAAACGCTTGTAAGAAGAGAGGAAGAAAGATTTTAAAAATGAGCATCGTCAGAATCTGAATACGTGTCTGAACCATTAATGGAATCAGTGAAAAATATGGTAGACTATGTAAAGGTGGGAAGTTATTTTTCTAACTTAGTTATTAAATTCCTACAATGTTTTGTTTTTTTCTCATAGTCCTGTCATTCATAGAAAATACAAATTAATCTAGATCTGGCTTCAAATGTATAAAGTCCCACAATAAGTAATTCATAATTTTTATATCAAAGAAATCCATTTTGAAAGATCACCTGAATGTTTGTAAACACAAAAGATGCTCCCAAATGAAGTATTAGAGAGAGGCTTATTGAGGGCATGTGCTCTGTAAACATTAAAAAATAAATGAGAAGCTTATTAATTACTTCAAAATTATGGGCTTCTAAGCAGTTTTTCATATAAAAGTATCAAATGAAGTTGTAAGTATAAAATATGTGCAGGGGACCTTTTCCTTTTAGGGTCACTAGAGTTTTGTGGCCCATTAGATCAATGAATGACCAATATAATAGAAAATAGTTGTACATGGGTGGATAAAAATATATGCCTGATAAAATGTGTTGTATAACCATGGTGTATCAGTTCTTATTGTCAGCTTATATATGACATTTTCACAATAGGTATCTAGTTTTTTTTTCTTCTTCTTTAAATAACCTTCTAAAGCAGAGTTCATTTCTTAGTGTTATATTGGCTGAGGGTTAAGCAATACTAACTTGGGTCTTGTCATGTAGTTGTAGTGTGGCCTAGAAGAAAACTGGGCTACTTTTTTTTTTCCTGAGTCCTTTCATCTTCAGCTGGGATGCCTTGTCACAACCATTTATTTTATAGCCTTTGCTAAGATGATCTCATTTTATTGTTCTCGCTGAATCTTTCAGTGTGGTTAATGTTATTAAAATAACTAGAAATATAGACCTATGTCATTCACTCACAGCTTATATGAGATGTTCTCATATTTAAGAGCCTTTTTGTTCCTCTTCCTGTTGCACAATACCTGTCTTTAAATAAGAAACAAAAACAAGCTGCAAATGTTCTTTATGAGGTTATATGCAGTATCCAGAAAAAGGGATGTTGCTTACATTTTTAACAGTTCTTATCTCAACGTAAGCCAAAAGAATGTGTGTTTGGAAAAAATATTTTATATGCCTTTTCAGATCCCAGTGATTTTATTTGTTTTGTTAATTGGCAGGTCTCTTGAAATATATACAATTGTCACAAGGATTTTAGTACCTAACTAAATTTATTTTTTTAAAATTAAATCTACTAGAAATATACTGAAATTAGAAATATTTGCCTAGTATAGAAAATGACTTGAGGGGTTAACATTGTTGATGACCTGTATCATCCCTGGAGCAAGATAAACTTGCCTATTGTACCTCTGAAATTTAAAGTTAAAATGGACGGGGCTGGGTACAAAGAGTGCTTTGTAAAGTGTTCATTTAAAGACCGAATACCATAAATAGTTGTACATAGTAATTAGACAGAAAATTACTGCTCTTTCTTTTCTTTCTTTTTTTTCTTTCTTTTTTTTCTTTTTGGCTACAGGTAAAAAGAAAGATCTTATCAGACTCAATTTCTCACCTGCCTCAGGCAGGTATAATTAGAAGTAAGCAAATTTAATGGAGCTTGTGTGCTCTGGGGCCATTCTCCAGTGCTTTGATAATTGCATGCTTTATTAAAGTAGTTTCAAGGTATGAAGTCTGTTTAACATATGAGGTGGCAAATAAGTTAAGATACAGGTTACCTTTTTGCCTTTTAGTTCAATAATCAAGTGTGCTTTTAAGATAGATTGCAAAGAATGCATTAAAATAACAGATTTAAAAGTTGGAGAGGTAATGCATTAGATAGTATGTTGTATAGACATTAAAGCAACAGGCAAATGTGTAACTTGAGCTTGACATTCATCAACGGTGGCATGCTTACACACCCTCCCCTGTCCTGCTTTCCATCAACTCAGTGCTAGTATTGGAAAGCTGAGGGCTGTCATTTTATGTAGACAACACATAATTATACAAGTAAATGAGTGTTAATTTAATGCATCTCCCTAAATCCACCTTTACAAATTAATAGTGTAAACTTTGCCAGTGGCTAAAGTTTTCCATCTCTGTATTATGGTGCCTCTCCACAGGATGAGAAACCAATAGAAACACTTACTGAGGGAATGTTTTTTATGGGCAACAAAAACATAGTTACTAACCCATCCACAGTGTATCTTTGTCTCTTCAGTTATATAAATAGGTCAGCTTCAATTCATCTCAAGGCTGAAGCATTAAAGGGAATGGATTTTAGAGGTGCCAATAACAACAGATAAATACTCCATAACTCAGCAGCAGACATGAACAATAGCACAATATTGTTTAAACAAATGTATCTTTAGCAACTTCTCCATGTTTCCTAGAGCTGCCTAAAATCTGTAAGTATGTGATACTTGATGAGCTTTCCCCTAATGTATTTCTACTTGAACAGAAACTCCAGCAAATTGAAATAATACAAGTTAGTCAGGTATAGCTAAACAATAGTTATTAGTGGCTATTTGTGTTTTACAACCATATTTCATTCAAATGAAGCATATAAAGCCCTATGATGAAAGGTCAACATAATCAATAAGAGCCCAGTTTTGATGCCCTTACTCACTCTTAACCAGTGGTATCATTCTGGGTTAAAGTATTAGTTAGCTCCTAGAAGTATATCAGAATCTTTACACTGGGGATGTCAGACTCACCCTGGGCTGTGGGCTGGGCCTGGATTATAGGGGCTCCTCCTGGGAAGTGTCTTTGGGGCCAACAGCAACTAGGGTGGGGCTGCATTCAGGCAGCAGTGCAGAGCTGCATTTGGGTAGCAGCATGGTTCTGGCAGTCTGCTGCTGGTAGCCATGTCCATTGAGGTCCAGGGACCTCTAATTCTGCATCAGGCCACACCCCACAACTGCCAGTAGCCCACGGGACTACCAGCGGTTGGGACAGGATGATTCTGCAGGCTGGTCGAGCCTATGGGCCACATATTTTAAACTGTTGCTATACACAAGTTATTCACATTCTGTATACGTAATATAATTTATCTGTCTAATTTTTTATCTTATCTGCCACAAGTCAGAAACCAAACTAGCTATGGGAGTGCACTGAGCAGCAAATGTTCCTTTAGGTATATATACAGGTATGTATTCACCTGTAAGCATCAGGGAGACCCAAAGGAAGATCACATTTTAGGGGATTTCCCACTGGGCTCCCCCTTCTGCCACAACAGTTTTCAATATCTGAGGATAATATGAATAATATATCAATTGTATTTCACTCCAGCATACTAGCTTACATGTAAATCTTGACCTGAGTCAAGAATGAAGTAGAAGCTGTAACTGCAATACATATGTATATGTTGTCTATATAATTCAAATTACTTTAATGTCTTATTTACCATAAAAGCAATTTATCCTCAGAGGGGTTAGTTTTCTTTAATCTTTTAACAGTAATCTTCTGAAAGCCTTTTGGTTCACCTTCAGTAAGTTCTATAAGAAATAGTGCAGATTGTTTGCTTGAGGAGGAAGAAGAGAAAAGAAATGGCTTATTCAATATTTTAATCAAAATCAGAATTTTTAAAACTAAAATGTATAGCATACAGGATTAATGTGCATTTGTTCAGTCAGTTTAGACTTTGTAGATCCTTCCAGTTTTGTTATGGTATAATAATGATCCATTATAGGATTAAGTGTAATAACTTGTAATTGTGAGGTCAAATAATAGAAATATTAAGTTGAAAATGAAAATCTTGCCAATGATAAATCCTTTTTTCTAAATTCTAGACCTTTTTAAGATCATAGGATAGAAAGTATGATCTAACACTGTTCATAGATTCATGGATTGTAAGGCCAGAAGGGACCTTGGAAGATTATTGGGTCCAGCCCCCTGCACCAAACATGAAACATAACTGGGGGTCAGGTGACGCCAGCAAGGTGACTGTCTAGTCTCCTCTTGAAGATTTCCAGGGTAGGTGATTGCACAGAGCTTATTTCATAGTCTGGACACCCTGACTGAAGAAGTTTTTACTAATGGTAAGCCTGAATTAGTCTTCCAGGAGTTTGTGGCCATTACTCTTAATTTTCCCCTCAGGTGCCCTGGTGAACAGTTGCTCACCAAGCCCTTGATGTACTCTCCTAGTGTACTGGTAAGCTGTTACCAGGTCCCCTGTCAGCCTTCTTTTCTTCAGGGTGAAGAGTCTTAGATCCCTCAGCCTTTCCTTGTATGGCTTGCTGTGTAAGACTGATCATACGGGTGGCTCTTTGGATTATCTCAACCTTGTCCATGTCCTTGTTAAAGTGTGGTGTCCATAACTGGATGCAGTACTCCAATTATTTGAGAACAATGAAAGCCAAGTGTATATATGGAATCCTAGGTTAAAGTTATCAACAAGTTTAGGAAAACTTGACAGCCTTTTATGGAGATAGAACAAGAGGGAGAGGTAGTTAAGGCTCAGTGTAGTTATAGTCTTTTTGTTATATAGTACATGTTTGTTGTTCAGATCAAACTACCTACATGTACATGTCTCTGTTGTTCTTTGTTAGCACCACTGCAGTAGTAGGACCTTTGAAATGCATGGCAAAACTCCTATTGACATCAGTAGAGAAAGATTTACATAAAAAAACTCTAGGAAAGGTTTTGAAACAACTTCCTACTACGCATGTAGTGGCTGGTAATGTAAAAATTTTTGAAGGTCTGCCACTTTCATTTTATGCTAAAATAGTACCAGAGTTGTTCTAAAAATCTGGTTCTCATTTTGTTGGAAAGCAGTTTTTAAAGTTTGTCTTTCCAGTCAGGTCTGATCAGATTTGGGGAGGAGGGAAGGAAGGACTTTG